ACAGCCAAACCACTCTCTTAAATTTCTCATCTAGGACATTCTTCTACGGCCTGGATTTCTGCGTCCTTGGATTTTTCCTTGCATTATATTTTGTACGAATGTGTACAAGTATTCAAGTTTTCTCTTTTTTGTATTTATAATAACTTCTTGATCGTTATTTATTCTGCTTATTACCTCTTCATTTGTAATTTTATCCACCCAACTTATTTTTAGTATACGGCGGTAGCACCACATCTCAAAGCTTTCAAGATTTTTAATATTCCTCTGTTTAAGAGTCTATGCCTCAACACCATAAAGCAAAGTACTGACTACATAGCATTTTAACATTCTAGTTCGTAGATGAATACTAATATCACGATTACAAAATATTTTTTTTCATTTTTATAAAGGTAGACCTGGCAATTTCAATATGTCTTTTTATATCGTGATTTTGGTCACCTGTTTTATTGATAAGGGTTTCCCAAGTATTTGTATTTGCTTACTTTGTCAAATTGGTTACCGTTTATTGCGATACTAGTGTCATGTATTAAATTCTTACTGAAGGTCATATATTTGGTTTTTTTGACGTTCATCCTTATGCCGTAGTTATTACATACATACTTACATATCTCATTCATACTTTCAACTAGAAATCATTGTCGGGGGTTTTTTAACTACGATATTCGACGGCGTCCCTGTCCTCTCCTACCAAATACTTTACCCTGCATAACGAGTTGAAGAATTCGATATTTTTCTTCGTTCCGCATTACGTGGCCTGATGGTGGTTTCACTATGTTGGTGACATGGTCCACATACGATATTTTTAGTAGCCTCGTGTAGATCCACATCTCGAAGGCTTCAATCCGCTTTTCTGTGACTTACGTCAGTATCCAGGCTTCAAATTTATATAGTAACACTGGAAGAATATAGCACCTCATTATCCGCATCTTGGTTCCCAAACTGAGATCACTGCAGCACAGCAAGGATCTTAACTTGATAAATGTAGACCGTGCCATTTCAATTTTTTAGTTTTCTTAATATTAAGGTCTAGTCCGTATGTTACGCTTACAGTTCTCACTCGGTCTAGTAAGGCTTGTAGATAGTATACACTGGTTGCTAGTAACACAGTGTCATCGGCGTAGCGGATATTATTGATGTATTCACCGTTCACTCGAATTCCCATCTCTAGGTTTGTGAGGGCTTCAGTAAAAATTTCCTCGGAGTATATATTGAAAAGAGTTGGCGAAAGCACACAGCCTTGCCTTACTCTTCGCGTGATCTTCACTTGGTTGTTCAGCTAATCGTCGACCTTGACTTAAGCACGCTGGTTCCAGTATAAATTCATGATAAGTCAAATGTCCTTCTTATCCAATCCTACTCTTTGTAGGGCGGCAACCATCATCTGGTGTTAACAAATGTCAAATGCCTTGGCGCAGTCAATAAAACAAATATATACATTCCAACTGTACTCATGGAAAAGTGCTTCACGTGTACCAATGGAATTGAGGAATGATTACACAGGCCAACGATGAAAAAACTTTTTTGATAAAATTACCTCTATCTTATGTATTTTGGTGTGCTCAGTTCGAAAATCATATTAAACATGCTGTATCACCCACCATTCTTTCACAATTTAACATTTAAAATTGCATAATTACCTTTGAAGCCAAGATTACTACTAAGGAAAAAGAAGCTTGGATTGGATTCCAAAAAGTTGTAACCACGTTTTTTGGTAATATGAAAGACCTAACTACGAGCTTATAGTAGCTAATTTATTAGATAAGTTTTTTAAGATTTTAGATAAGATTTAAGATTTGGGATGTCGAATGAGCCTCAAAATCCAACTTTTGCATAACCATCTTGATCATTTCCTTGAGAATCTGGCTGCAGTCAGTGAATAATGAGGCGAACGCTTCTACCAGGATATCAAGGTGATGGAGCAACCATACGAGGGATGTTGGAACACCAAAATGATGGGTGATTACTGTTGGTCACTTCATCGGGAACAACAGAGTGCCTCGCATAGGAGAGAAAGCTACTTGAGAAGTTTTACAGAAAAAAAAAGAAAATGAAAATACAAAAGCATTGACTCCTGAAATGCTTCTACAGACCTATACTGTGAGTAGATAAACATTAGATGAAAGGCATTATTCTAATAATGTATCATTTTAATGTATTCCGGTATTTTGTGTAATTCAAATTATTATATTGTAGAATAAGCCAGCGCCATATTGTGGTAAAACTGTGGGTGATACATAAAATCTAATTTCAGATTCTTTTTAGCGCCAAAAACATACATAGGATTCACATAAATTTATAAGAAAAGTTTTTTAAATCTTCTTTTTTGTTGGCCTGTGTTATGTTAGTGTAACGATGGTCTTTTCGGTAGTCTGTCAATGCTTTTAACATTTTCTGATGGATTATGGTATCGAATGCTTTCTCGTAGTCAACAAATATCAGTGCCAATGGTTTTTTTTTGATGCTACAGACTTCTTTATTAGGTTCTTTATCACTAGTAAGTGGTCGTTAGTGCTGTATCTTGATCTAGATCTAGCTTATTCTCTAAAATGATAGAAGTCTAATTTAGTGTCCAGCCTTTTTTTGACAATTTTTGTGAAAACTTTATATATGTAAGAAAGTAAACTGATAGGACGGTAGTTTTTTTAGATCTGTTATGTCTGCCTGATTGTGTAATAAAATAATAACTGCATTGTTTCATTGAAAAAGAGTTTTTCTTTGGTAGATGCATTAGGTAAACAGCTTGGTCAAAGCCTGGATAATTCTATTTCCACCTAGATTGATCGCTTTGATCACTACTCTGTTATCGCCAGGGATTTGTTACTTTTATTTCTAAAAGTGCCGTTTTGATTTCGTATGGAGTTATTTCTGGCATTAATTCTGATCCCTGGTTTGTGCTTTTGGGCAGGGTCTGATCTTGCCTTTCGTCAGTACTGTCATACATTTCGTGATAAAAGATTTCACAACATCCAGTATTTTGGTTCTATCAGCGGTAATGTTTCCATCTTTATTTTTTATTTTGTACATATTTTTGTTGCCTATGTTGTTCGTATTGCCTAAAACTTTTAAATTTTTGTTGTTTTCTTGAATTATTTCAGTTATTTCTCTTGTATTGTTTTCTCTTTCGTCTTTTCGGATTGACCGGTGGATATCTTGTTTTAATTTCCCTATTGTTGTGCAGTGGAAGCCGTATTTTTCTCTTTGATCTTTCTTTGAACTATGATTTAGCTCTTGGTATTTTAGCTTGGTATTTTTCTTTATGAGTCAGAACGGTCGGAAAGCATTCCCTTTTCGTTACTTTTAGATTATTTTTATGCAATCATTTGCTTTATCTACATCTTCGATTTCACCTTGCAAGTCTTGTATATGTCTGGTTAGTGTATCTTGATACAGGTCGTTGTTTTCTAGGGGAATCCATTTCTTTTTTCTTATTTTTAGGATCAGCTTTGTTTCTTTCTAATTTGACATTTAATAGTATCTTAGCTCGGATTAATCTGTGGTCGCTTCCTATAGAAAATCTGTTGAGTACTTCGATGTCTTTGGTTATTTCTTTTCTGTTTCTTATGATATAATCTACTTCAGTTTTGGCACTGCCATCTGGGCTTATCCATGTCCATTTACGCTGAGGCTTTTGATCGAAAAAAGTTCATCATGAATACATTTTCCTGGTATACGAAGTTCAGAAATTTTTGCCCTCGTACATTTCTTTCACCATATCCATACTTACCCATTGCTACATCTGCATTATCTTGTTTAAACATCATTTTCATATTAAAGTCGCCAATAATAGTTATTGTATAATATGCTGGTGTAACATGTAACGCTGTTTCTAGGTTCTCATTAAATTCTTCAATTTCTTCATTCGACTGAGTAGTCGTTAAAGCATATGTCTGGATTACCTCAAGGTTATATCTTGCATTTAATGTGAAGATAAGATATACAATAATTATACAATCCTCGGGCTTACGCTGATAATTTCAAATATATTGGGTGTGCTTTCTATGTATAGTGAATCCTACTTCATAATTTGAAGTGTCTTCTTTACCTCTAAAATGAAATACGTTTCCTGATTTAAGCATAATTTGGGCTTCTCCTCTTCAGCCTGTTTCGTTGAGTCCGAAGATGTCCCATTTTATTATGTTCAGCTCTTCCTCCGGTTCCATCTTTTTCTGGTCTGCTATGAAATATTAAGTTCTAACATTGTATGTAATATGAATTTGTCGCTCTTTGCAGTAGCCTGATTTTTTTCGGTGATTCTTAGCATCCTCTGCTCCAAATTTCTTCTTAGCGCTACCTTGGTTGGTGGTATTGGTGGCGCCGGAGGCCCGTTCAGGAGTTTCGTCTTTCATGTACAATAACTTTTGGAGTTTTAAGCCATGCGTGTTGTGTGAGTTGGTTTGTGGAGGAAGTGGAGGAAGGAAAGCGTGGAGATGGGAATGCGTTAGGTGTGGACTTGGTTTTTCCGGGGATGGCAGGCTGGGGACATTCATGAGGTAGCGTGGGTAGATGTGCTATTCCTGAAGTAGATCTATCTCCTTCCGGGATCTCAGAGAAATATCCACCTGCTACCCATTAAGATAACCGAAAATGAAACTACATAAGGTAACATGTAAGGTCTTGAATAAGTTGGCATGCCCAATCTACCAGGTCTGCAATAAAAAGTATGTCGCCCACAAACTTCAAGTTGTTCAGAAATTCCCTTTAGTTAAATATTCCTTAATTTTATAAACATGACATCTATACGTCTATAATAACATAGAATTTGACGCCAGAAAATGTATCCAGCATAATAAATTTTACTTTTGTTAAATTTGTTTTTTATAACTATTTACGAGTTTTCTACAATCATTTAAACGAAGCGATTGATTTATTTATTGAAGAGATTATTTTGATAAATGTATAAAAATATTATTTTCTTAAAATGTATTTTCCATGAACTACGCATTTTAGCCATAATCTGTATCAATTAAACAAAAATAAACATTGATTCATAAAATATTTGCTAATCGTTCACTTTTACAGTAGCTATTCGTGATAGGACTTAGTAATTCTTAGTACATTCTTTGACATATCGATAGTTTTATACAAGAATTAATCAATAATCTTTTTGCGTTTTATAACTACAGTACCGATGGGGCGGATGATTCGTTGCTCTTCGTGATTGTAACGTTTAATCTAACCTTTAAAAATTTGCGAGTCGACAGTTGACTTCATGAACGAAATTCTACGTTTTAGTTAAATTTAAAGTAGAGGTCACCATGAAAACAGTATTAATCGCAACGGTCATCTTTTGTTCGCTTTTTAATGAGGCGCTATGTGGAGTTAAAGATGATTGGAACAACTTTAAAGTAAGTATAACATATTTTTAACAGATTTATAAAAGTATGCATATGTACATATTACAGAACAACAAATTATTTTGTATCTTACACCAATCGAGATTAGTTGTCAAGTATTGTCTCATCTGGCTTCTACAAATAATAGTGAAAACTATCTAAACAATTGTTGTAAAACTTTTTTGCACAAAACCAATATTTAAAAAACTTTTATAGACCTACATTTAAGTAAAATTGTAAAAGTGTAGTTATATTGTAATAGTTCTAGTCTATACTTATAATTAATCATAAACAAAACAATATCATTGCGAATTCTTAATTCGCAACTTAAACGACAGAACGTTGGATATTAGTCTTAGAATGACAACATATGTAATGTAGGTAGTATACCTGATTGTCACTGGATTTTCTGAAAAAGAACAGGCAAAAAAAGACTTATTTTATGAAGTAGAAGAGATACTATATATCCGTTACCTATATAATAGACACTTATATTGTAGAGGGTGTGTGTGTGTGTGTGTAGAGGGAAGGGATGGCCTTAGACATAGTCTATTAGCCACAGAATTCATTTTTATTCATATTCCTGTCTTCTTCTTTAAGTGCCGTCTCCTTTAAGAAGGTTGGCTATCATCACGGCTATCTTCACCTTTGACACTGCTGCTCTAAACAGCTCAACAGAGTTACAATTGTACCACTGCCTCAAATTGTTTAGCCAGGATACACGTCGTCGGCCTATGCTTCTTCTTCCGTATTCCTGTAGGAACATAATATTAGGTGCTTATAAGGTTAAATATCGATTTTAGCTTCTTTAACGTAATTTATTATTGCATCTAAAACGCGTTTATTATGGCTTGATAACAGAGAACCAATGTTGAGAGGAAGAGGAGTGTTGTATTCTATTAGAGAATTATATAGTCTAGAGATAGCCGATTCATTTTTTTTACACTCCAGAAATATGTGGTTAATATCACCTATGGACATGTTGTCACAGTCACATAACGGGGAGTTAAGTATCCCTAATTTATAAAGGTGCGCCGGAAAACGACCATGATTCAATTTTAAGCGAGTTACTGTTGAAGTATATCTTTTTATATAATCAAATGTTATATCCGGTATTCTATTTGGAAGCTGTGGGTAAAGCTGGAAATAAAGATTTTTAGATGTCTTGCTAAAATTATTGTAAGATTCTGACCATCTGACTTTAATAGCTTTTTTTAGTTTTGTAGTTAAGTCGGTATAAGAAAAAAATTCTACAAATTTATCTGATTTACAAGCTTCTTTTGCTTCACAATCCACCCTTTCATTACCAGTAATACCGCTATGACCTTTTACCCAAATGAGAATTATTTTTTTATTTTGTTGGTTTACTTGTATAATAAGTTTTTTATTTCACAAACTAATTCTTGATTATAAATATTTATTGGAGATCCTTCAATTGCTTGCAGAACGGACTTTGAATCTGACATAATAGAAACCGTTTGAACTGGATTTAGTGAGCACCATAGTAGGCTTTTTTTTATCGCGATAGACTCTGCACTGTAAATAGAGAGTGTATCTGCTAGTCTAAATTTTTCTACATGGTTGATGTCTGAAACAAAAAATGCTGCACCTGTTCCATTTTCACATTTGGACCCATCTGTAAATATTTTAGTAACATTTTTACCAAAAGCATTCAAAGTGGTTGAGAGTATTAGGTTATTTAAATTAGCGTTTTCAGTATATTCAGGGTATATAATGGTTGGCCGAAATATCATACTTTGATAACTATATTCATATATTGGATATTTGGGACTATTGAATTTACAAATGTCATATTGATTGGTATTAATAAAGCCATCTGCCAAGGGAGGGGAGTTTTTTATTCTCCAATAAGGTGTTGTAAGGTTACAAGTGTTAATAAAAGCTATTTTCTGGATCATATTCGTATTAAATGCCCTGTATTTTATTATTTGTTTTTCAGCTAAATACTGTCTCCGTATATTTAATGGCGGTTCTTGTATTTCTGCAAGCACTGCTTGGTTAGGCGATGACATCATTAGACCCATACAAATTTTTAATGCTTTGTATTGTATACGATCGATAGTTATTAGATTCGTTTTAGATGTTGCCCCATATAATGTACAGCCATAGTCCAATATGGAACGAATATATGCTTTGTAAAATGTATACGATACAGTTACATCAGCCCCCCATTTTTTCTTGGAAACCACTTTTAGCAGATTTATGGCTTTTTCGCATCTTTTTTTAATATATTTTATGTGGTTAGTCCAAAGCAATTTTTTATCTAATACTATACCTAGGTACTTATATTCGTCTACGAATGGAATCGTAAACCCATCTAGACAAGCAGCTCTAGCAGTTTTAACTCGGTGACGAGTAAAACATACCAAGGCAGTCTTATCCTGAGAAACGCTAAAACCCATGTCCCTAAACCATTCTATTAATAAATGAATACATTCTTTCAAGTCATCTAAGCATTTCCCATATGAACCATGGCTGAAGTAAAAACATAAATCATCCGCGTATTGTATCATGTTGAACTTGTCACCTACTAACTTATGCAGATCTGCAGTGTAAATATTAAATAAAATAGGACTCAATACGGACCCTTGAGGTAACCCGTTACATACTGTGTGAGGACCATGTAATACGTTATTATGATCCCGAATAAATATTTTTCTATTATGAAAGAGACTTATAATATTGACACATACGGTTTTATTAATTCCAATTGTTTCCATTTTTTTTGCTAAAATATTTAGATCAACTACATCATAGGCCCCTGATAGGTCTATAAATAAACATAATGTATATAGGTTTCTGGATAAACTTATTTGTATATCTGAAACTAAATGACTAACAGCATCGATAGTTCCTCGTCCTCTCCGAAAACCATATTGAATGCTTGGTAATAGGGATCTATATTCAACAAAATGTTCTAATCTAAACTTAATTAATCTTTCGAATGTTTTGGTGACACATGATATTAACGAGATTGGACGGTATGAAGATGTAATTTCTGGATCTTTATAAGGTTTAAGTTTAAGGCAAATTATAATATTTTTAAAGCAGTCTGAATATTTTTGTTTCCTCCACCAGTCATTAAATAACTGCAAAAGAAAAAGTTTAGCAGAGTATGGTAAATTATAAATTATTTTATAGGTAAAGCCATCTATCCCGGGAGCAGTATTCCGACTATTTTTAATCGCTAAATCAAGTTCGTTCATTGTGAAAGAAGAAGATAATTCATCTTCGTGATTAAATGGAAATTGGTTAAATGGTTTTACTACAAAATTAGAAGCAGAAGGAGGACCTATTTTGTTTAGAATTTGATCTATTAATTTTTTTGAAAGGGGTTTTTTGGGACAAAGAAAATTTTTGTTATTTACAGCTTTAACAAACTTCCAAATTTCGGTCAGTGGTGTATTTTTGTTGAGCTTATTTAGAAAATTAATCCAGCTACAACGTTGTTTGTTTTTAAATAAACGTTTAGTTTGGGCAGCTACGTTTTGATATACTAAATAATTATTATGGTTGGATTGATTTCTATAATTTTTTAAGGCCATTTTCCGTTTTTCTACCATCTTACTACATTCCTGATCCCACCAAACTGGTCTAGGAGAAATGGGAGTAAAAGATTTTTTAACAGGCATCGACCGATTCGCAGCAGTGGAAACCTTCCCGAAAATTTACGTTATTTTCAGTAAGTAACTCAGTAACATCTTTATCCAAGAGTATTCGAAACAATTCCCAATCCGCAAATGTGTCATTCCATTTAGTAGAGGGATTTATTAAAAAAGATGAAGGATTAATTTGGATGTCAATAACTATTGGGTAGTGGTCTGATCCCATTGTATCATCTAAGACGGTCCAAGTTAATTTATCAACTAAAAAATGGGAACTTAATGTAATGTCCCCGTGGCCGGTCTAGCTTTCGTGGAGGAGGAGCTCTGAACTGAGTAGGGGCTCTTCTGTACTTCACGGAAGACAGACTGGGCGGGGGATGTCCTCAACCTCGACATGGCACGTCCCATATGGCTGATAGGGAAAGTTCCTGCAGATATGCAGGACAGGTACGAATAAGGCATTGCCAAATAAGTACCCGCGGATCAACTGAGGATATGACATTAGGCAGCAGTAATGTCATTACTGGATTAAGGCTGTGGGAAGTAAAAATCCTGTAGGTTTATTCCAGATACTCACAGGCGTCACTCACATTATGAGTTAAGCGGCTGTGATACTGCGATGGGGAAGGCAACGGGAAACCACCCCATTATGATCCCTAGTAAAGTTATCATGGAATCAATGAGTGTAACGAATACTACTGATCATGGGCTGCGGAACTCAAGATCCGGCAGGGGAAGGAATACACAATCAAACCACAGGGCTTCCCAGGTCGCTAGCCAGCGAAATCCCTGTGAGGAAAACATCACTAGACATACGATGAAAATGAAGAATCCATACAAAGTGGCTACATGGAATGTAACAACCTTATATGAAGCCGGTAAGTTGAGAAATCTACTCTCTGAAATGGACAGATTAAACATTACTATCATGGGGGCGAGTGAAACAAGATGGCCAAACAAAGGGAATTTCAGTGCAAATGGTTACGCCGTTTATTTTTCTGGAAATCAAGACCATATGCATCGAAATGGAGTAGCAATAATTATCAAACAGCATATTAATAAGTATGTCACTAACTTTATCCCAATATCAGACAGAGTAATTTTAATACAGCTGAATGCTAAACCTGTAAATATAAATATCATCCAAGTTTATGCTCCCACTGCTGACGCAGATGAGCAGAATATTGAAGAATTCTACCATCAAATAGAAGAAGTGCTAAAAATAACAAAGAAACACGAAGCAATAATAATTATGGGTGACTTTAACGCTAAAGTTGGACAGAAGATGACGCAGGGCATCACCGGAAAGTTTGGCTTGGGAGACAGAAATCAAAGAGGTGAACGGCTAATAGAATTCTGCCAAGAAAATGACTTCGCCATTACAAA